TTTTAGACTGAATATGCGTTTTGCGCACGGCTCCCAAGTTAAGTGTACACACAAATCTACATAGTTGGCTGACCAACTTTATTATAAGCGATTCAAAATTTCTCCATATTTTGTGTGTGTTTTTTTCCGCCCGAAAATTGGATGTGCACCAGAATTAGATTTTTACTTTCGAGTGCTTTTGGCGTTGTGTGTAATTTTGTAAGCTTGTGTGCTTGTGTATGGGGTATGGTAATATACATATGAGCGCTTTTGACTAAATGGTTACTCATACGCCCTGCGCACCAACAGCCTACCCACAATAGCAATGCATGCGTACGCTCGTGTGTGTGTGTGTGTGTGGTTGCACGCTTACACGCTTTCTACATAAGTTGCTGCATTATTTAAACCGAAAAAAAGATACAATTGAGCAACATCTAAGAACACTCAAAATCCACAATTGAGACTTGCTCACTCGCCCTATGTTTACGGATTTCATTGTAATGCTTAGATTCCACTTTTTTTAGCTATGCGTTTTTTTCTAGCTGTGTAAGAAATGCCAACTTATTTAACTTTAATAATCTTAAATTTCGTATTTTTATTTTTTGTATTTTTTTATGAATTGCTCACTTTTATTATGTTAATTAGTAGATATGTAGTAAAAATATTTAGTTTTTATATAATTTTTATGTACGTTTTTGTTTTTGTTTTTTTTTTTTTTTGGATTTACTATTTCAATAATAATAGAATATTTATTTTTATTTTTAAGTTTCAGTAAAATTGCATTAATATTGTTTCAAACTTTTACGACTAGTTCTAGTAAGATAATTAGTTAAATTTATCTCATTTCTGCTGTTTCGTTCAAATATTTCTCATACTACTTAATGTGAACACTGATTTTAGTCCGGGTCTCGTTCTTAATTTGTAATTTGAGTATGTATTTCATATTTGATAGCCAAGCTAGAGCTATGAGTTTGTTTCGGTTTTGTTAGATTACGTCCGTCAACGTTTCGCATTTTCGTTCACTAATATTTGATTTGCTTATTTCTTATTAATTCAATCCTTACTTTTAACAGTCAACTTAGCTGACGACTCGACCTGTCCAGTTGATGAGGTAACACGAACCGTGAAAATGCCCGAATCCTCCTCATAAGTTGTTCCAATAAGTAGTACGGCACTATTTCCATCGAAGATCATCTGAAATTAAAGCAGAAAACGAAATTTTAGAAAATAATACCAACTCTTCGATGAAATAAGAACTGAATTTTAGAGTCGCTGTTTAAGATTTCTATTTTCGTCTAAGAAAAGATAAAATTGCAATTCTGGGCTTATACGGCCTCTAAGCAAGAACGCTAGATAATCTACTTAGTAGCGGGTTCAAATCAGGACTGCCAGAGGAAATAAATGCTGGAAAATTGTTTTCGAGCCAGGTTTGGGTAATTTTAGCGTAAAGGCCCGGCGCAGAATCCTGCTGGAAACTCCACGACTGGTTTTGGAGCAGATAATGCTTAAATGGCCTTACAACAGCTTCCGTAGTAAACTTTGGCCGATGTTTTGGCCTCTTTTTTGCAAAAATGCAAGTCAGTGACCCTATCGAAAGAAATCATGACTGGAGCTGGGTGATGAACCTTCACAGAGACTCAACCTGGGAGCTATTTTAGGATTTTAGAGATTTTCGGGATTCTCGGGACATATCGATTTAATCGATATTTTTATCGGTTTTGTTATCGATATTTTTATGGATATTGTTATTGATTTTGTTATCGATTTTGTTATCGTATTTTTAGAAAACGGTGAGGATGAGGATACCAATAAAAGTAAAGGTGAAGGTAGAGGAAGAAAGATTAAAATAAAGGTACTTATAGAGAAAACGATATAGGTAGAGACACAGAGACTCAATCTGGGAGCTATTTTAGGATTTTAGAGATTTTCGGTATTCTCGGAACTTATCGATATAATAATCGACATTTCTATCGATTTTGTTATCGATTATTTATCGATCTTGTTATCGATATTTTTATAGATTTTGTTACTGATGTTTTTATCGATTTGGCTAACAATATTAATATCGATTTTGCTATCGAAATTTGTATCGAATTTGTCATCGATTTTGTTATCGGTATTTGATCGATTATTTATCGATGCTATTATCGATTATTTATCGTTTTTGATGTCGATTTTGATATCGAATATTTTTTTCAATTTTGTTATAGATATTTTTATCGTTATTTGTATCGAGTTTTGTTATAAATTTTTCTTTATCGATTATTTGTCGATTTTGTTATCGGCGTTTTTATCGATTTTGTTATCAAGATGTTTATCGATTTTTTATCGATATTTTTGCCGTTTTTATGATAGATTTTGCTACCAATATTATTATCGATTTTGCTATCGAATTTGTCATCGATTTTGTTATCAGTTTTGTTATCGATATTTTGTTGGATGTTACTATCGATTTTGTTATCGATACAGTATAAAGATAAAAATAAAGATAAAGAAAAACAGAACAACATAAATACAATTAGAACGAACAGGGGTAGAGGTAGGGATCTACATAGATAGAAAAAAGAAAAAAATATAACCTTAACACGTTCACTACCAGCTGGGTTTTCACGTGGGACCGCCGACACAAATATGTGACGCCGGTCTAATTTAATTAAATTATACCTCCATTCACCGCCGTCTGCGATAGCGGGATGTTGGATACAGTATGGTCTATAGGAAGGTCTGGCACACGTTTGTGACAAGTGGTTTCGGGATTACAGCTATACTTACAACCTGTAAAGCATGAGGTTATGTTTATTTACAGTGCACGTGTGAAAGTCTTTACCGACTTTAAAGCTGAGATTCCACGATTGCCGGAAATGGACCAATCTGGAACAATTTTTATTGTGCTGTATTGGAGCACAATAAAAAAATTGTCCCAATGAAATTCTGTACAGTCACACGGTTGCCTCTTTTTATACAATTCTCATTGCCGTAAGTTGGCGAAAAGCAATATAGTGACAATAATTACCCTAAACTTATCACACGATTGTTAGAGCATGCGGCAATTGTGACCATAAAGTGTTGCGCTGACCTCTAAATTCTGTTTTTTTCTCTGTTGTGTAAAAATGGCGTATTCTTAATAAAAAAAAATAAATCAATTGCATCTGCTTTGTATATTGCGGGCTCATTTCGTGCAAATTTGTTGTTGTTTGAAAGCAAAGAAGCAAAAACTTGTGCCCAACGAAAACTCACGCATTTATTTAGAAGTTTGATTGTATAGTTTTTTTATTTTTCGACGATAACTGCAACGTGCTATGTGGAGTTCAAGTTGCAACAGTTTTCTTTTTAATTTTGTTACGTAGAGGTTTTTTTATTCATTACAAGTAAAATTGGTACAAAAGAGTTATGTTTGTTTAAATGAAAGCTGCGAATTTACATAATTTATGTTTGGAATTAAATTTTATAATTATATGTACAGCTCGCAACAAAAGATAGCACCTTAACATTTTGATCAGTCTTGACTTTTTTCTTCTGTTGTTTAATGTTAATTTTTTCCTATAAAACCATAGCTCATTGTCTAGTAAAAACCACATAAGTCCAAATTCCAAACTTTATACAAAAATTATAAACATTTCTTAAAATTTTGATCACAATTCAATGGTTTTTAATTTGGGTTTCTAGAAAAAATTTTGTTTTGCAGTTTACAAAGTAATTTACAGAGAAGAAAGTGCATAATACCGTCAGCTAAAAAAATTATAAAAAATCAACAGGATCTTTTAGCAACTTCAAACCTCCACCTTATTGTACTAAATTTTAATGAGCTACAAAACTAAATAACCATTTTTTTCTAGAAATCCAAATTATAAACCGTGGGATTGTGTTCAAAAGTTTAAGAAATTTCTATAATTTTTGTATAAAGCTTACAATTTGGATTTATGCAGTTTTTGTTAGACAATGAGCTATACTTTTATACGAAAATAATGAAGATTAAATAAATAGAAGAAAAATAGTCAAGACTGGTCAAAATGTTGAGGTTCTACTGCTTTGTCGTGGGCTGTATTGAACTTAAAGTTTTTTTTTTAAAATAAATTTATACTGTCATGGCAGTCCGCCATTTGGTGGCATAAAATACCTTTCGTATTCTTCTCGTATGAATTTTCCTTGAGGTGGTATATATCGCGGCAAAGATTCCGTTATCGGACTTCAAGAAAAATTATAATTTCACTACAAATTAAATTAAAAGTTATGTTGCTTCCGAAAACAAGGATATTAATTTCAGTGATTTTTGGACACATAAGGAAGCAAAAAAGTAAATTATTAATAAACAGCCTAAATATTGATGTGTATTGTTCACTTCAATTGCCGCACAAGAATACAATAAATATTGCCGCAATTTTGAAATTTTCATCGCCCCATGATTGCCAATCTAGCTATCACACGATTGCCGCACACGGGCCGTATTTGATTGGGCACAATATCGGCCTCTATTGCCGAATGAGTCAATGTATTGTGAAATCACACGATTGGGGCATAAAATTAGGCAATAATTGGTGTATTGCGGCAATCGTGGGATCCCAGCTTAAGAGAGAAAATATTAGCTTCATAGTGAAATAAATACTCAGAGGACGGTAAGTACATATATTTAGGCTTGCTTGAACATAATAAATTTGAACATAAAATAAGCCATAATGCTACTGTGTTTTCCCCTAGACTTAATTTTATGTAAGCTTTGTATTTTTGAAAAAAAAACTGAGCTATATAAAGCCCTGAAGTTTAGCCTATCACATAAATGGAATAAGAGAACAGGCTGCACATTAGCTTTTAGGACATGTGTCTTCCAAGATATAACTTCATACAGAATTTTAAGGTCTTTTTCTCTAAAAGACTCAATTGGCTAACGAACGACGTAAACCACGGACATTTGGTACACTGACGGCTCCATAACTGACCCCTGCGTCTGAGCAGAAGTTTACGGCATACAACCCAAAAAGTTTCGTTTCACCAGCATTGTCCCAGAACCCTTGATTGGTCTGCCATGGAGTTCCGTTAGGCGAAACTACTATATCTGCCAAAGGGCCTCGCAAGAAAAACTTATTTAAGAAAATTAATCTATCACTTTACAACATCAGTCAGCTGTCTACCAGACATGGTAGAATTAGGCTTGATGGTCTCAAGCAGTTGTTCAAAAGTTTGAAAATGGCTCGACAAAACGCTTATAAATGGAAGGTAAAACAAGTAATTTTTAAGCAAAAAACACAACGGACTTCAATTCTCATATACAATATTTAGGAGTACCGTCAATTTTTTCATGATCCAATGATCGGATCTAAACCAAATTAGTACCACCTGCGAGACATTACTTTTACGATAGAAAAAGAATTGTCGAAATCGGTTGACCTGGTCCAAAGTTATGCGGTAATATACATAAAAAAAAATATATATATATTCCGACGAACTGATATCTTCTCCTTTTTTTGAAGTCAGTTAAAAAGCTCTCTGGGCTCTGGGGTTTTTGACAAGATGGCTTTCGTGCGTCGACTTCGATCTGTTTGATACCATAATAAATACGTGGTTACTTAGTGCACAACAGTGACACACAGAGGGACGTCCTCATATAAGGTGCGGCCAAAAGAAATAACCGTACTACAAATTCGATAAAATTTCACATATGTACAGGCATGTTCTGCAAATCGTACGATTTCAAATCGGTACCTTTTGCAAAGTATTGTTGTATATTTGTAATCAATGTATTAAATGTTTCAAATGGGAACTGCTAGAAACACATCATTTACGTTATATCCATCGATTTAGTACCAAATTTTTCTCTCTTATATAAATAAATCCTCCGAAATAGATTTTGGAAATCGCACCGATTTGAAATCGTACGATTTGCAGAACATGCTTTGTAGGTTCGCTTTTGCACTTTGGAATAAAGAAATGTGAAAAATGGTAAAGGTCGGCGCACCGCCACGCCCACAGCTTCTGTGGGTGGAAATGGCAAATATTATCCGATTTTGATAAAATTCAGATTCTATGCTGATATTAACAAGAAAAGCATAATTCTGCAAGAACGTCAGAATCGGATAATTTTTACGTCAACCGAATCTAAAAAAAATGGATTAAAATTAAAAAAAAACAAGTAAGAGCAGCGCTGTCTTCGGCTATGCCGAAGGCTTCATACCTTTCATGAACATCTGCAAATTTTACTTTGACAGATTACTACTTTTGAATACATCTGCATACATCGATAGAGGAGTTACATACTTATATAAAAAATCGCATCTAAACAATCAGAGGTATGGAAGATATACTTTATATGACACCAATCTAAGTGATTTTCACCGCTATGTGATCGGTATGTAAACCGGTAACACAATTTATTGGGTTTAGTTTCGTACATAAAGGAGATATACGGTAAAAACTGGTATCTTAACAATCAGTGCTATAGGAGATAAAGCTTATACAGCATAGATTTTGACGATTTTCTCAGTAGACTTTGTATTATTATTTATAAAATATCTTACGAAATTTATCGGTTTTAGCTGTTCAAATAAAGGAGTTTTACAGTAAAATCCCATATCTGAACAATCAGATGTATGGAAGATATATGTTGTAGTCATCCGATCCTTGTTATTTCCACTGTAAGTATTCTGTTAATAATGAGTGAAAATGGTGCGAAATTTCATGTTCCTAGCTGCATAAATGGAGGAGTTATGATAAAAGACCTCATATCTGAACAATCAGTTGTATGGGGGCTGCAGGTTATAGTGACCCGATCTTTGTTATTTTCGAGGTAAGTCTTCTGTTGATAATGAGTGAAAACAGCGCGAAATTTCATGGTCCTAGCTACATAAATGGATGAATTATAACGAAAAATCTCATATCTGAACAATCAGTTGTATGGGAGCTATAGGTTATAGTTACCCGATCTTTTTAATTTTCACTGTAAGTTTTCTGTTGATAATTATTGAAAACAGTGCGGAATTTCATGTTCCTAGCTATATAAATGGAGGAGTTATAACGCAAAATTTTATATCTGAACAATCAGTTGTATGGGAGCTATAGGTTATAGTGACCCGATCTTTGTAATTTTCACTGTAAGTATTCTGTTGATAATGGGTGCAAGTATTGCAAAATTTCATGTTCGTAGCTGCATAAATGGAGAAGTTATAATGAAAAATCTCATATCTGAACAATCAGTTGTATGGGAGCTATATGTTATAGTGGTCCGATTCTTCCGGTTCCGACAAATGATTAATACATTATAAAAATACACCCACCTACCAAATTTGATCCGGATATCTCGAAAACTGAGAGACTAGATTGCATACAAACAGACAGACAGACGGACAGACGGACAGACGGACATGGCTAAATCAACTCAGCTCGACGTTCTGATCATATAAGTATACATTTTCATGGGTCTATCTCTTTTTGTTCTGGTACTTACAAACATCGGACCAAAGTTATAATACCATTTCATGCTCATGAAAGGTATAAAAACACTATATTGATGAAATTCGGTCTATTCTGCTTATTTACAAAAAAATTCTCTAAGACTGTTTAGAGAGGCCCCTAATTGGCAATTAAGAACCTTTTCACCAATTTAAGCCCTAATTGTTTCCTAATTTATCATACAAAGAATCAAATTATTAATTGCCAATTAATAAATAATTGGCAATTAATTTGTATCAGACTCTCTATGCAATCCTGCTAGGTATGTTTAATTTTGACTTGGAAGTATGTTATTTGAACAAAGAGCAATCAGCTGTTCGTTTATGGTCCTCTTTTACAGCTGATATTCCATCAGGGATGGAAAATTGAATTATAAAATTGTACCTAATTTACGGAAAACTTTACATAAAAGTAGATAGATGTACCTAAAAAGTAAATGTGTATATCTATATAAAGAAAATAGGAGGATAACAATTCCCATCAATATCATATCAACTTCTGCACTCACATTAAACAAAGTTTAACTATGAAAAGAATCTCTTCGAGCAGCGCGAGACAAAACTATATTGTAGGTGAATCACTTTCCTCCCAGTTCATCGATCTGACGTTTTAAAAAGAAATATTTTCCGTTTATCTGGCGTAATCAACTACAGTTGCGTTACTTTGACCACCCTTCTGTATCATTTGTATGCCCCTTCACAAAGGAGGGAAGCTATTAGACCAGTTTCCCGCACCAGAAAATGCATTGAAATGTCAATAAAAAATAAGAACTGATTTCCTGAGAAGTTATTTGGCTAAGTTCCAAATGTACCTAAAATTGTGTGTTTGTACCGAATAAACCTTCAAACTACATACAGGTACTATTGTACCAACTTTTCCATCACTGTAGGTGATCCAGCAGCTGATTTCGTATCGCTAATTGCGCAGCTAACGTGTATGTGAACACCAAACACAGCGCCGCAATATAAAGCTTAATTGCCCCATCAACCCTCTTTTGGCTTTTTTCATGTATGGTAGTGGTTAGCACTACCACTCCGCAGGGCCTCGGTTCAAGCCCTAGTCAAAGAAACATCGCAAAAAAATACAGAAAAATGTTTTTTTTTTTTTTTATTAACAGCGGTCGCCTGTCGGTAGGCGATGGCAAACCTCCGGATGTATTTCTGCCATGAAAGACAGCTTCTCATAAAAATACAATTACCATTCGCAGTCGGCGTAAAATTGTGGCAACATCAAGGCGCACGCCACAAATCGGAGGAGAAGCTCGGATAACAATTTAATAGCTCAATATTAGAAAATATCTAATATAGATTTCCTTTTAAGTCGCCGTAATGATACTGGCTGCATTTCTTTATTCATTCTGAATGTTTGGAATAAACTATTTTGTTCATTTATTCTTTAGAACGTTCCTGATGATATGTTGACGTATATTTCAAACGCATTCTGTTTATTCCGGCTTTGAAATGGGATTATCCGGAATGTATAAAGAAACGCAGCCACTGTATGAGAAATGAGTGTAGAAATAAGAGGAGCATGCAATTTTTGTTGGCGCGCCATTGTATATTTAGTTGTTTGTGACATAAATCGGAGCGTTTACAATAATTTTAAGATTTTTTTATTTGAACCTTGGGAGTATGTATATTGGAGGTTGCTGCAGTGCCCCGTAATTGTATTCCATAAGTCCATGCCGGGTTTAAAACAGATGAACAGAGTAAGAGCTTATTCTCGACTGAGACTTGAGATTTTGGGTTAAGTAACCAGTTATATGAAAAGCAAAATGACTGGTGCGCTTTAAGGGATTTGCACAAAATCGCTTAGGTGGTTACTGAGCCAATCGAGAAACAGAACAGTGAAATATATTCGAAAATATTACGAAATAAGCCATGCAAGTTGAGTTGATGGAACTGCATCAGGATTGAGGCGTCTTCTCTTGGCATTTGAGTAATTGATTTCACTCGATTTGAAGTCCAGGGTGCAAACCTTAGATGATGCATTAAGTTGAACACCATATGCATTCATCGATTCCCTTTTCTGTGTAACATCTTTCGGCTCAATATACATAACTTCCTCTTTACTTCCTAAAACAAATTATTTTTGGAATTACAATAAAAAAATTTGAAATACATTTAAAATGTTGCTACTGGCAAATGGGTTAATGCAATGACAACACTGTTGTCAAATAAGGGTATCGAAAATAAATATGTCATATAGACTTCACTTTGTTTATTACATTATGGTACTGAGCATATTTGAACGCTCTCCCACAGAGCTTTTTAAATATGCCAGCCGGTAATTCTCTTAAAAACGCCCGATTCCATTTGGAGCCTGCCTAGATTTCCGTAGCTGAGATTTACTCGACAATACCCGAACAGGTTCTGGCATAGACATTTTTTCTACAGATAGTCTATTCTAGCGCTTAATAGATTTTCTTAACAATATTTGGACCAATTAGAATCTGCATAAAATTAGTATACACAAATTAATCAGATATAATCACTTCTGGCGCTGAACAGATTCTCTCAACAACGATTATCTCTCGTAGTACCTGGAATGGCACTACCATGCAACATCTTGGCTTGGGTAACCAGTTCAGGTGATAGTTAGATTTTATCTAGTACGTTTACGTTGACAGCGCCACCACAGTAGCTGTTATGCGACATCCATAAACGGGTTAATTGGATATACTGCAATGATTCTGCATAATTGCTTTTTCGGAATTAGGTAGTGCGTTTTTACTATTTCTGGCCGCTGTAGTCCCATTGTGCGACAGCGTGTATAAAAAAGAAATGCACCTGGGACATTATAGAAGTGAAACATCCTGCGTTTAATTTCTAGTTTCGTTTATAATATTAGCCTTAGCTTTAGTTTTCTTATTGGTTTTCATCCATAATTTTCTTCGTCTTCGTAATCGTATTAGTTTTCGCCTTCGCTTTCACCATAGTACTCGTTTATGTTTTGTATTCGTATTCATGGTCTTCATATTCATATTTGTCTTCGTATTCGTTGTCGGTTTCACATATATTTTCGAATTAGTCGTCATCATTTGTATTCGCTTTGATCTTCATATTTGCCTTCGTCTTAGGTTTTGTCTTCGTAATCGTCTCATATATTTATGTTTGTATTTTTCTTCGTACCGCGTATTCGTCTTCGTATTCACTATTCGTCTTCGTAACCGTCTTTGTGTTTGTTTCAGAATTCATCTTAGTGTTGGCCTCACTCTCAATACTAATGTAGGCGGAAACAGGAGAGTAAAACTGAGTCGCTCACATGATATTGACATTGGAGATGGGCGACGGGCCAAAAATTCTTTCTTGCTACTCATGTTAAAAACCCGGAACTATCGCAAATTCACAAATGTTCCTAAAAAACTTTGTATGAAATAAGCACTTTTTATGTTTTATTGAGACGAAAACGAACAACAAAGGAAAACAAAATAATCGACGCCACTGTCCTAAGATACTGAAAGTGAACCAGGATCTGGGTTATTTTATATGTTAACTGAAACTGATTGGGTGGTAATTACTGCATAATTACTGCAGTAAACCAAGGGGTTTTTAAATGCGATTCACTAAAATTACGTTTTAAACTTAACAAACAAATTTTTTTAAGTGAAAATTATAATTATGTATAAAGATAAATTAAGAACAATAAAATAACGATACTCACTTGGAAGTCGGGGGTTTCCGGTATGAGAGCACCCTCTCGGAACCATTGAACACTGGTGGCCTTCACTTTTCCGGTAACGGTGGTTTTAAATTGTGCTGGCATACCCTCCGTCACGGAGGCATCCTTCAGTGCGGTGATGGTTGGTGGTGCATCGAGATTCTCAATTGGACGCACCTTCAATTGAGCGCTGGTCTGAATGCTACCCAGCTTATTCTCAGCGACGCACTTGTATGTGCCCTCATCCTCAGGGAATGCTTCGGAAATCACCAGTTGATAATATTCACCTTGACGTGTCATTTGGAAGTAACGCGATGGTTTCACAATATTTTCACCACGCAGCCAGCGTGCCGTCGGTGTGGGCTTGCCTTCAATGCGGCAACGGAAAATCACTTTGCTACCTTCTTCCACTGATTGACTCTTCAATTTCTCTACAATGTGTGGTGGCTTTTCGCTGCCAGGTGTGGTGGGTTTCTCAGGTTTAGTAGGCGATTGTACAATGCAGTCGGCATCGCAACGTGCTTCGCCAGCTACATTGACGGCGACGCACTCATAGCGGCCGGAATCTTCGGCGAATGGTTCGATTATGAGTAGAGTGTAGAGGTTGTCCTCTTCAAGCATTTTGAATTTGATGCTTGGCTGTATCTTTTGACCATTCTTCAACCAATAAACATCCATGGGGCGTGAGCCAGTTAGCTTGGCGTCGAAACGTGCCAACTGACCGGTGGATACAGTGGTGCTTTGAATGACATTGACAAAGCTAGGCGGTGTTAGACCACCCTTGCCGGCACGACGACGTTCTTCAACCACCAAATTGGCGCTGCACTTGGCGGTACCACCACGATTCTCGGCGATGCATGAGAATACAGCCGAATCTTCGACGAACACCTGGCGTATGATGAGTATGGACTTGCCACTGAAGGTGTGAATTTGCAAATCTGGTGAACTCTTGATGGGGAAGTTTTCACGGTACCACTTTACAGTTGGCATTGGCTCCCCATCGAATTCCACCTCGAATTTGGCTTGCTCGTTCTCGAACACGCGGCAAGGCTGAATTTTCTTCGTGAACACTGGTGGTTTCGATGGTTTTACGGGGCCCTTCACTACGCGCTCCTGCACGGTGCCCTTGTGTTCCATTTCAGTGGTTTCGGTTGCAGTAATTTTGCGCGTTATCTCCAAATCACCAACAACTTCCTTTTGGGTCTGCTGTTGTTTATTCATGATGACCTCGCGGCCATGTACAGACGATTCAGTGGGTTCAACTGGTGCTTTCTTCACAACCTTCTTAGCAGCAGTAGTTGCGGACGATTGTTCTTCCCTGAAAAGTGAAATGGTAAGGGCAGAATTTAGCAAAGGGTTACGAATCAAAAGCTGTGTCGATGAAACTTACAAATTCTGCTCGTATGATTGCGCCATGCCCTTGGCAGCAGATTTCTGTACGACCTTTTCACCGGGTATCGCATATTGATGAGATTCCTGTCGCAAATTGGTCTCCTTTAGCAATTGCTCCGTTTCCAGTTCTTGCAGTTTGCTGTAGTAGTCCTCACTCTTCTTGGCATTAACAGTTTGTTGCCATTCGGGAGCTTCAGGTTTGATCTGCTTCGGTTTCAAGTGTTCGACACCCTTCAATGGTTTGCCCTGTTCGGCCAAATACTGCTTGCGTTCATCGAATATCTTTTCCAATTCAGTTTCTTGACGCTCTTTTTGGTAAGCAGTTAGTTCATAATCATACCAAGCTGTAGGCAGTAAAAGGAGTAAATTCCGTGAGTAATATTTTCGTGGGTATGTGTGTTTAGTTTACAAAAGTTTAACCTTACTAAATATACGCAAAAAGTAGTAGTAAAACTTTAGGCGAAATTACGCAATATTTACATATAATTAATTTCTGTATTTTAACTACTGAACCATTACTAAAGGTTCAATAAAATACTTACCTGATCTATCATAATTTTTGCTTATCAGTATAAGGGAACTTAGTCTAAAAAAAAAAGCACTACGAATGCAAAATTACATACAAAGTATGAGCTTTCAAACTTAAGCTGGAAAGCGATTTCTTTTGGTTAAATTCAGTTTTGCTTTGAAGAAAGCTAGCATAGCCTTATGCATAAAAAATGAGTTTTAGTAAAGTAATAAGATTTCTGTGCATTGAGCACAAAAATTTCTGCTGGGATAAAGCTCATTAGTACATTGTGAAGAGCAGTGGTAAAGCCAATAATTTCCCGAACACTTGAAAGCTCAACTGCGGGTTGTGTTTAAAAAATATAATGATGAGCCCATCGCACAAAAATAATAGCAAAGCACCGATTGCGAGAAACGCCGATATCTTGTTCTCAATTGATCACAAACAGCAATGGCTGCTAGAAGTATTACCCATAGAACCCAAAATTTAAAAATCATATGCCCAAAATAATTTCCCATTTCACACATTGGCAGTGTTCCACTTTCCTACGGGACCCTTTCGTGATGAACTGCCTCCTTAGTAATGTTTGCAAGCTCCTATGCATTTTAGTTTCCCGGAAGGTTCCTATGCCTTGGAATACATTTCAAGAGCACAGCAAACTGCTCTGCCATCACACAAAGGGAAATGTGACAGTTCGCTACCGATTCCTTTAGACAGCCCACCTATCTGTGAGTAGATATACTCTCCTGTTGGACCTATCAAAATAGAACAAAATGGAGTCCTTATGTTTCTCTACTTAGTATTTATCTATATGAGACACCTTTTACTAAAAAGTTTTAAGACCAGGAGTAATAGCTTTAAAAGCATACACGCGTTAGCGACAGCGAAAACGGCAAGCAATCGAACGATGAGCTATAAGAGCTTTACATACATATTTGGATGGGCCGAAATCGGTTAAGCGGTTACAGCGGCAACTGGAAAGAAAGGGGCGTTGACGCCCAGTATTCCATTTTTGTTCGGTAGCTGTGGGTTCTTAAAAGACGTTTAATCACTTTTGTATGTTTACCAGCTTTTTAGTTTCTGCAGCTTTAGGGTGCGTTCACACAGATAGCGGGCCCGAGCCGAGCGGCTCCGAGCTTTCAAATTAATGTATGTAGCTATATGAGAGTGTTCATACAAGTAAGTTTTTTGATATATTTACGGCCAACTCCATGCAAAAAGCACTGCTCCGCTTCGTTCAGTATGAACACCCGCATCTCTGCTCAGCTCTTCCTTGCCAAATAAATCCGAACGAGAATATAATCTCTACAAAGCTCTCCAAACCAAAAACAACCACCTAATGCAAAATTGCCTTTTTAAAGAACCGCTCTTTCATGCCTGTAAAAAAGCGAATTAAAAATTTCATGTTTTTGGAACTCGTTCTAAGTGAAATATTATTTATGTATACCGCCTATAAAAAAATATCAAAATCAAAACACCGCTTTGCTAGCAGCGCCGGAACGCTATTGAAAAAGCTTACTGTATGAACACGCTTATACAGTTACAGAAATTTTAAAGCTTCCTTTCGGTCGCAACAGCCTCGCTCGGCACGGCACTATTTCCTATGAGTAAAACCCCAAACCATGCTTTTCATGTGTTAAGCGTTTCTGCACTCTATTCATAAATATAACAGCGATAGATTTCTTTTTTCTAAGAATGGCCTGCTTCTAAAACCTGAACTTTGAACTTTCTCTAAAAAGATTTTATCATAGACAAACTTTCTAAAGTTATCAAAATGTTGTCACAATCATTTTTGCATCCGAATTTATTTTTCTTTCAAAATAGGGGCTTCACTATTCTAGGACTGAGTTTATAGAGTCATTCATCATATTTTCGTAATCACGTAGTTAAATGATATTAAATATATTTCTTATAGCTAAACATCCACATTACAAAAATATATGCACAAATAATGGCCATGCAAATAAGTTAGTATTCGAAGATTTATGATCTTAATATTTAAAGTTACATTATGAAATTTACAGAAAAAAAGATTTTGGTGAAATATGGCATTTTAAGTAAAATTTATGAAAAATGTAGGTTAGACAGTGCGCTGTGAGAATGAATGTGCAAACATAGATGATAGATAGAAGAGAGAGCGATAGATAGACAGTTTAACTCATGATTCAATAATACAAGGTTCGATAAACTGACAGTTGTCTCTCTCGCACCGCTCCCTTAGCAGTGGCACCGTGTTGCTTCTTTGCAAATTTACATGGAAACAGTGTAGCTTTGGTGTGAAATAAAAGTATAAGCTTTTGTGCAATGTTTATTTGTATATGAATATGAAGCATATTTAACTGATGAAAACATAAGCATTGGATGTTTACATCAATCTCATAGTAGTCTTATTTTAACTTTGAGTCATTTTGCGGGTTTTATACAGCTAAATAGCATATAAATCACGTAGATATATCAATATTACGTTCAACATTTCGTTTAAAATGCCAGATTTCCTGCAAATACATTAGATTTTACAAAAGGAATTTCACTACTAATTGCCTACTTTGCGTACTTTTCTACTACCATTTTCTCAACAAGGGATTGCATTCTTGCCATTTCTCTGTCCTTCGTAAATGCAACCTTTTGTAAGGGAGTGTCAAACCGCAGCTGTCAATAATTATCTAACCTTGTATTTTTGAATCATGGTTTAACGGACAAAAAGATAGAGACACAGAGAGCGTAAGAGAGAATTCTTGCAACATTCTTTAAAAATAATACTTTAGAGCTAAAAAAAAATGTTCTTCAAAATGTGAATTTTAATATCAATTTCTACGATATCTTCATAATACTGAAAATACTCACAGATTACACTAAACAAAATGGTAATTACACAAACAATTCAAAATTACCGCAATAAATGACACATATATATAGTTAATAAGAATGTAGTATAAACCTTAGCGTTGCCTCGAAACTCCGCACTTCGTCAGCAACAGCCGTGGTGCTCATCCAAAAAACGGCAGCAGGCGGGTGGATTACCTCTTGGACAGAAAGCAGCTTGGACGGCGGAGGGATTGTTTTTTTGGGAGCGGAATTTCGGTATATGGCGTTTCAATTGGGAATGGGGAATTGTTTAAAGGAATCGGACATATCGGAAGATTTAAGTGTGTGAGTAAAGCTGAGAGGAGAGTACCTGCTCAGTTTAAGTATTGTAACCTAGTTGCGTTTCTGCGTTCAGTGAGTTTTTGTGTGTTTTGACCTAAGTGTCTAATAAAATTGTGAGCGAGTGCGCTACGGCAGAAAATCTCAGAATTTTTCGAAACTGATTCCTTTACCAAGTAAGTAGTTTGGTAATCTTTCTTTAGTGGAATTTTGTGTGCATTGAATGTGCCAGTAGGTGAATGTTTGCATTTATATATTTTTTTAAATCTTTACACTCAAATCTAATTGCAGTAACTGCACGGAATACTTGTCTGGCTAAAATGTGGTAAACATGGTGATATTTGTTCTGGTCGAGATGGTGAAAATATTTATGTTTGTATGTTTATATACAATGCCTAATTTTTTTTTTTTTTGGTTATTGAAAATGTAGTAAATTCAAGTTGTTTACAAAAACACATATAAACTACATTCGTTTGTGAGTTGTAAATAAGTATATAGTATATATACGGTAAAATAGTAAAATATATTTGTTATTGTATATAAATTCGAGTGCAAAAGTGGTGTCTAAAAATATTTTCTTTTGTTGAACTAATTTCGTATTAGAAAAGCTATCAGGAAAAGTGTTAATTTCTGTAGTGCAATGTAAATATATGTGTAAAATGTTTCAAGTGTGTACTTACGACGCGGTGAGTTCTTCAATACGCCGCGATAATCATCTGAACGCTCTACCACGTTCAGTTGGGTGGTCGCAATCGCTTCACCAACCGAATTGCGTGCGATCACTTCGACTTTGCCTGTATCGTATTGTCGTGTTTTTGGAATATCCAAATGGAACATTCCATCGTTCGTTAATTTGTAACGTGAGCCCTAAAATGTGGTTAAATTAAGTATGTGTGGTTTTGTGGATATTATTTAGAAAAGTGTGTCTTACATGTACAACGGTATGACCATTGATGAGCCACATAACTCTGGGACGTGGATGGCCAGTTACGCGTACACAGAAACGTGCCGGCTCGCCCTCCTCAACAGTTTGTGGTTCCAATTTGCTGACGAAAGTTGGTTTAGCTCTTGGTTTCGCATCAGGATCGACCTCCTCTGGAACACTGTAAAAGTAATATATGCATAATATGTAGTAGTATATCAAAAACTAGAAAAAGTGTTAGGGCTAAATTATTACTCTGCTTTTTTAGCAGAATGGCTACTAATAGGAATACAATTAGCAAAATAAAATTCAATAAACAAAATGAAATTTAATACCAGTAATGAAAATATACTAACAGGGCAATTCTGGCAACTATCTTGAAAGCTCTTTACTGTCTATCGAAAGACTATTTAATTGAAAGATCTACTAATAAGGAAGTCTTACCGTTATGCCTTTTAACAATAAGTTTAAAAAATTTAAACAACATAAAAAACATATATTTTTCTTTTTAAAACCATTAAAACTAATAAATAAAAAAATTAAATCACAAAAAAAAAACAATACGTAATAATAAATAAAGATATTTTTTAAATTAAACGAAATAAAAAAAATATATTTTTTCTTTTTAAAACAATAAAATAAAAAAATGAAATTAGAAACAGAAGAAAATAAAAAAAATATATTTTTTCTTTTTAAAACAATAAAATAAAAAAATGAAATTAGAAACAGAAGAAATAGTTCTTAAAAATTTAATAAAAACAAAATTTGTATTCTTAAGGCAAAATCTAAAAACTACAGGATTATTACATTAAAAAAGACAATAAAATAAGATCGCAAAAATTAAATTAAATTAAACAAGTATCTTTTTCTTTTTAAAACAATAAAATATAAAAATTAAAAGAAAATGAAATTAACAAAGGAAACAAATTAATTAATAAGAAATAAAAAATAAATTTCTAAAAAGTAAATGAAGAAAAAGTATTTTGCTTTTTTAAACAGTAAAATCTAAAGACTAACAGCCGCACTCAGAAACGTTCCTTAAATTAGCTCTAACGGGCACTTAACTAATGATCGTTAAATCTGTTAATTAATGTTTCCTCTCAGAGTTAAAAATTATGAAATAAAAAATTTTAGTATGGCCCCAGTTGCGGCCCTTCATTTTTGTGGCATCACTCACTTTTTTCGTTCAGTTTGAAATAAAATATAAAAATAAGTATTTATATCATTTCGCGAGCACCGGTTCAACAGACGCAATGGCTGAGTGAGAAGAGCATTGGCATGCCATTCGAGAGATCCGAGTTCGAGTCCTAGGGCAGGAAAATTTTCTTTTTCCTTTTTTATTTATTTATTTTTTCTTACTTAATTTTATAAACTATCTGTATTGAATTTTTAGCCTTTTTGATCGTATTTTCTTTTGGTGTATAGATTTTATTGCTTTAAAAAGAAAACAATTTATTTTTTTTTTTATTAAATAGTTTGCTAAAAGACAAACAAGACAATTAACAGGCCAATTCTGGCATCTGTCTTTCAACTCACCTCAGTCTTTCGAGAGACAAAAGTCTTTATATTTCGGCAATTATCTTGAAAGCCCTTTTCAGTATTTCGAATAACTAATTGACAGATGTGGAAATAGGGTTATTATATATATCGCTTAGCAATAACTTTTCTAAACACTAAACGAAATGAGAAACAGGAAAAACTAAAAATTTTAGAAACTGAAAGTGAAAGAAAACAGATGAATCAAAAAAGTTTCCAAACGTTAAAAAAAAAAATATGATATTTCAAGCAATAAAACTTAAAAAAAAATTGTATTAAAAAAAATTCGTTGCCGAGGATTGAACTCCGATCTCTTGAATGGCACGAAAGTGCTCTGCTCACTAGGCCATTGCCACTGTTACAGCAACGTTATCGAAATTGAAATTTATTGAAAACAAACAAAAAATTTCAAAATGATTCGTTAAAAAGTTAAGTAAAGGTTTTTGTTTACTTAACTTTAATGTTCATTAAATGCCGTTAACGAATCATTAACTGACTCACAGCCGCACTCAGAGTCGTTTAATGATTACTTAAGGTGTCCCTCAGTAACGATTTGAAAAAATTCCCTCTCAGAGTCAGTTAAATACTCGTTAACGGCATTTAATGAACATTAAAGTTAAGTAAACAAAAACCTTTACTTAACTTTTTAACGAATGATTTTGAAATTTTTTGTTTGTTTTCAATAAATTTCAATTTCGATAACGTTGCTGTGACAGTTGCAATGGCCCAGTGAGCAGAGCACATTCGTGCTATTCGAGAGATCCGAGTTCAATCCTCGGCAAGAGAATTTTTTTAATACAATTTTTTTTTTAAATTTGATTGCTTTAAAAATTCATATTTTTTATTTTATTTACCATTTGGAAACTTTTGATTCATCTTTTTTCTTTCGCTTTCAATTCCCCAAATTTGTAGTTTTTCCTGTTTTAAAAAAATATTTTTTTTTCATTTCGTTTAGTTCTTGGAAAACTTAATGCTAAACCGTAAATATAATAACACTATTAAAGAGCATAACTTTCAATTAGTTATTCGAAATACAGAAAGGGGCTTTCAAGATAGTTGCCGAAATATAAAGACTTTTTTCTCTCGAAAGACTGAGGCTGATGCCAGAATTGGCCTGTTATTGGTCTTGTTTGTTTTTTAATCTAATTAAATTAACAAAAAATGTGTTTCCTTTTTAAAGCAATAAAATCTATAAATCAAAAGAAAATTAGATCAAAAAAGCAAAAAAATTCAATAAAGATAGTTTATAAAAAATAAACAGGAAAAAAATATAAATAAAAAGGAAAAAGAAAATTTTCCCGCCCTAGGACTCGAACTCGGATCTCTCGAATGGCACGCCAGCGCTCTGCTCACTCAGCCATTGCGTCTGTTGAGCCAGTGCGCGCAAAATTATATAAATACTTATTTTTATATTTTATTTCAAACTGAACGAAAAAAGTGAGTGATGCCACAAAAATGAAGGGCCGCAACTGGGGCCATACTTAAATTTTTTATTTCATAATTTTTAACTCTGAGAGGAAACATTAATTAACAGATTTAACGATCATTAGTTAAGTGCCCATTAGAGCTTATTTAAGGAACCATTCTGAGTGCGGCAGTCAGAGAGGGACTTTTTCAAATCGTTACTGAGGGACACCTTAAGTAATCATTATACGACTCTGAGTGCGGCTGTAAGAGGGAAAAAAATATTTAAAATAACAAAAAAAAATTCATTTTAAAACAGTAAAATTTGAAAATTAAATTAAGAAAAAAAGTATCAAAAATAAGTTTCTAAAAATTAAATTAAATTAAAAAATATATATTTTTCCTTTTAAACAATAAAACCTAAAAATGAAATTAAAAAAGAATAAGAGGTGGATTAAAAAAAATTAAAAAAAAACTCCGCTGTCCGAGGACTCTCGAATGGCGGGCATTTGCTTTGCCCACTCGTCCACTGCGACTTTTGAAGCGACGATAGCTAGAAGTGCTTTTTCTCAAAATACCTTTTAACCACTAGTGGCGAAAGAGAGAGCTTTTTTTTAAAGACTTTTGTGCTAGAATAACAAAAGTCTTTCGAAGTATATTGCCATCTGTCTTTCATTTGTTTTACGAAAGAGTCTTTACTATCTTAGCAAGAATTGCCCTGCAAACATTTAAAAATTTTTTTTAATTTAGTTTCATGTGGCAACCTTCTGATTGATATATAAAGAAAATGTTTAAAGACTGTCGAACTAAGTTTTTGCTAAGGTGCATTTTATGTATATTTCTTCAGCTCCTGAATACATATTACCCCAAATTCCACTAAGTTAACATAAAAAATACTAATGCCAGATTGACACTGTGCCTCAAATGACCTGACGCTTCAGCTGATTGAATCCTGAATATAAATTCATTTCCGAAACTTGTATGCTTTTATAAACTTTTATAATAATAAAAGAAAAACATAATCTAATAACTAAATAACATTACCTCATTCAAGAATCGGCCGATGCCGATTCTTTTGGCCGATAATAGCCTCGGCATCGGCCGATTAATCGGTCGGACTCTAGAAATGCATACTTCAAAGTTTAGTTGTGTTGTTTAAGAACTATTGACTTTTCAAGTCGGGTGCGTTTAGATTCCTCAATAACGCGGTGGTTGCCCATCTTTCTGTTAGACTAGGAAAGGGAGTAAGATTTTGGAAGCAGGTCTTTATTGTCAGTATTATACAGAGGGTTTCGATAGGATTAATTGTGAGTTGAATGATAGATCACATCAGGTGCCTTGGTACCTTGTGGACCAAAGGTGGATTTAGCTAATTTCAGCCACTCTAGTAGAGTGACTCTACAGAGGTAAGTTTCGTTGCTAGGCTTTGCTTTTTTCCTGACGTGAGTGTTGTGACACAAAATTCTGGCCGATGATTCCATCTGGCAAACTTCTGCCGGTTTATGAGTGTAAATACGATCTATCTCTGCCGATATGCCGATATTGTCGTTGGTAGTACTTTTGCACTGCCTTCGAAAAGCTGTAGATGTTCTTGCGGTGGTTCCGCCAGCTACTTGTTGGATTTCCTTAATATTTCGCTATAGGACTTTGTAGAAAGTTTGTATGCATTCCCAAACAACCACAGTAATTGCCCTCATTTACACGAGCTTCTTATTCCACCAAAGATACTCACTGTTTCTTTTATTTATGATTCTATGAGTTCTAATGAAAGCTGTTATTATATGTGTGTGAAGCTATTGAATTTCAGTCTTGAGCTACTGTGCAGACAGGATTGGGCTCTTGAGGAATTTCGGTCTTTTCGATTATAAAGTTTGTTTTCCTGAGGTTAACTGATTTCTTGGCATAAATTATTCTAATGTGGCTACCAGTTTGTAACTTGAAGAACTCAATAGTCGGGTTACATTAAAGAAAAACAAAAAAATTTGATGATGTCTCATGAAAAATCTTAAATATTTCGAGAGTTTGACAGATTTGCTGGTATAAGAAATTTAGGCTGGGTTTGGTGGTTTTTCAATAATTTCTCGACATAGTATCTTCTTGGTATTACCCATGGTAGAATTATACCAGGCGAAGTATAGAGCGAGAAGAAAGGTAGTACTCCACTCACATTCCCTCATGAGAAGAATGGGTGGTAGCTATGGGTTTGAAATAAGTACCGATGAACTTTCACACGGATGGGTCGAAGCTTTACTAAGAGGACGGTGGAGGCATCCTTCAATTAGGTTGGACTTCTCTACTCAACATCACTTAAAAATGACTTAGCTAACCATCTCCTTATTAACATATTTATTAAAATATCTTGTCTCCTAAACTCCGGGATCCTGAAATATTAGCAATTTTCAATGCTTTGATGAATAAATTCCTACCCGATTAATTTTGTGGCGATAAAGTTAAAAATACACGGAACGTAAATCACAGAAAAGCATTCGAAAAATGTTTTAAATTTAAACTTCTAATTAATAAATACTTACACTTGCCATGAGGCTTCCATTTCACGTATGCGCTGAATAGAAGCTTCCGCCATATGAGCGGGCAATTGTGAGTCGTAGACAATACCGGGCTTGCCAGATACCTTAATTAATGCACGGGTCTCATCTTTGCCATAGAGATTCGTGGCGCGGCATACATATTCACCGCTATCCTCTGGATAAACCCAACCAAAGTTCATTGCCACATAACCAAAATCGTAGATGGGCTGGAAGCGATTCTCTGTAAAATTAAGGCAAACATGTTAATAATGATTTTCTTTAATGCCATTACAAAACTGGTTACTCACTGTAAAACAGCGGTTTGCCATTGAAGAACCATTCGACCTTCATGTTCGGATCACCAACTGGCGCCAATTGACATTCAAATTTGTTGGTTGCCATTTCGGTAAGAGTAGTTTTGTCCTTGATTTGTGTGACAAAACGTGGTGGCTGCTTGCGATCTGGATCGAAGAGATCATCCTCAGTCAGATGCACCTCAGAAGTGTACTTCTTGATAGTGGCTTCCATTTGTGTGAGAGTTTCGGTGCGTTTCATGCCACGTGGCACTTGGTTTTGTAATATAATTGTTGGCAATTCTGAAAATTCAAAGCAAAACTTTATACTGCAGCAACAACTCGTAACTAAGTATTTTCTGTCTACTTACTCTTGCAAGAAATAGTTGCTTTTGTGCGCGCTTCGCCATGTTTGTTCACTGCACGGCACACATATTCGCCTGAGTCCTCAGCATAGACATACAGAATATCAAGCGAAACATAACCCATATCGAAAATGGTTCTGTAACGATGTCCGCTGGGTAATAATTTGCCATTACGGTACCATTCTACACGCAAATTGGGATCGGTTTTTGGTTCCACTTGACACTCGAAGCGCATAGCTTCGGCTTCTTCGACTGTGACGTTTTGAATTTCCGATGTGAATTCTGGTGGTCCGAAATCGGGTTCTTCAATCTTTGGCACATCGGGTATGCGGCCACGCTCAAGTTCTTTCAACTTTTCAGCAGTCATGCCGTCAGGCAATTGTGTATCGTAGACGATGCTATGTTTTCCCTTGCAGGTAACCTTGGCAGTTGTTGTTGCAGTGCCCCATTTGTTGGTGGCACGGCAAGTGTACTCACCAGCATCACGAGTGTAGATGTAATCGATATCCAAGGCAATGAAACCGAAATCGTTTAGTTGATGTACACGCGAGCCTGTCGGCATTGGGCGTCCATTGTAGAACCAATCGATGCGCATGGTTGGGTCACCAACTGGTTCGACACGGCAATCGAAGTGAATTGGCCCACCTTCGGGTACGTCGATGTTGTCTTTGATATCCTCAGTGAATTTAGGTGGATTTGGTTGCTCTTCGTCGATGACTATTTCTTCGCGCTTGTGCATGCTTTCTTCCAATTTCTGCAAGCTTTCCGTGCCTGTGCGGAAGTTAGAGGGTAGTTGTGGCTCGACAACAATGCCCTGGCGTCCCTTCACCTGCAGCTTACACGAAACGGTAGCCTCGCCATGCTTATTGGTTGCCTTACAAGTATATAAACCGGAATCGCGTTGATAGCAGCCGGCAATTTCCAAAATGACAAAACCAAAATCGTTGATGGTCTTGATGCGGGAACCAGCCCACAGAGCTTTACCGTTATGGAACCAATCGACACGCATGCTTGGATCGTTAACAGGCTGCAAGCGGCACTCGAAGTGTGCAAGCGAATTTTCCGTAATCACCATGTCGAATGGTGTAGTTATGAACTCTGGTGGCTTGCCGCTATCGTCTTCTGGCACGAATTCTGTGCTGCGCATACCCAGACCCTCAAGTTCAGCAATACGATCAATGGTGCCCTCCATGCCCTTCGGCAATTGAGATTCCATGATAATGCTGCGTTTGCCTTGAATCTTCATGGATGCAGTGGTGACAGCTTCACCGTACTCGTTGATTGCCCGGCAAGAATATTCACCTGAGTCCTCAGGATAGACGGGCGAGATTTCCAAGATTACGAAACCAAAGTCACAGAAAGTACGGAAACGTGAGCCCGCCTTAAGTGGGCGTCCATTCCAGAACCATTCAACACGGAGACGAGGATCATCAGTTGGGGTGACGCGTGCTTCAAAGTGTGCATTCTCACCTTCGCGCAGGTTGTCAATGTTCTCAAGTGGCACAGTGAAAACTGGCGCCTTTCCTTTGGTTTCTTCAACAGTTTCATCGCGTGTACGAATCATGCTATATTCCAGATTAGCGATCTTTTCCAAACCGCCCTCCATGCCCTATGATAATAAATTGAAAAGAATTTAGTTACAGACGGTACTAATGTTACATTTTAGTGACAAGATAAATTCATTTTCACTACTTACACGTGGTAGCTGTGAGTCAAGAATCAGATTCGCCTTAGATGTGCACTTCAGCGTGGCGCGTGTTACATCTTCGCCGTACTTATTAACAGCACGGCATTCGTAAATACCAGAATTCTCTTCATAGCAGTATAAGATATCCAAAATAACTATGCCAAAGTCGTGGAAGGTACGGAAACGGTGTCCGTGTGGCAACTTCTTGCCATTGAAATACCATTCCACTTTCAAATCTGGATCGGTGACTGGTGTAAGGCGCGCTTCGAAGTGTGCACTCTGTCCCTCAACCAATTTGGTGATGTCCGTAATTTGTGTGATAAATTTGGGTGGTTCGGTAACCACTGGTGCACTGGTATCACCCTGTTGTCCTTGTGGGCATTCCAGCTCACGAATTCTTGGTAGTGAATCGGGCTGTAAACTATCATAGAACACGCCACCTCGACCGCGGCAATTGAGGGTTGCGCGAGTAAAATCTTCGCCGTATTTGTTGTAGGCGCGGCACATGTATTCACCACTGTCATGGTCTTGCAAATAGGAAACATCCAATACCACATAACCGAAATCAGACACGGTCTTGATGCGATTCGAATGGCGCAACAATTTTCCATTGTGATACCATTCGACTTTGAGATCGGGATCGTTGACTGGTATGAGTGTGCACTCAAAGTGCGCCGACTGTCCATCCTTGAGTCCTTCTAGTGACTGGATGTGTGAGGTGAAACGTGGTTTCTGGCCACGCGGCTTCTCAACGCACTCTAACACGCAGCTAATCTCAGCGCTGCCATATTTGTTAGTGGCGCGGCAGGTGTAGGTGCCAGAGTCTTCGATTTTGGTGCCAAGAATTTCTAGGGCGACCATACCGAAAGCATAGATGGTGCGCACGCGATGACTAGCTTCCAACACTTTTCCGTTGTAGAACCATTCAATGACCATACTTTGATCACCAGTGGGTATGAGGTTGGCTTCGTAGTGGGCAATCTCACCCTCACCAACATCCTTGATGTCAATGAATTCAGTGGTGAAGCGAGGAGCCATGGCTTCTTCAGGCTGTTCCGGTTTCTTTCCGTCCTTGCGGAGTGACTCTTCTAAATCTTGGATTTGTTCCAAACCTTCTGCACCCTTAGGATGTTGCGTCCTTTCGATAATACTTTCCTTGCTTGTACAGAAAATGGTTGTTGTGGTAAAGGCCTCACCAGCCTTATTGTAAGCCTTGCACGTATAAATACCTTGGTCGCGCTCATAGACTTCAATCAAGTCCAAGGTAACAAAACCAAATTCACTGGTCATCTTGAAGCGAGAGCCATGCTGAAGAATTTTTCCATTGAAATACCATTCAATGAATAGGTTCGGATCTTCTTTCGGCTCAACATTACCTTCCAAGTGCAAGGATTGTGCTTCGGAAAGATGGAACTCAGCTTGCAGGGGCTTCGTCCAAACTGGTGCTGGATACTGAGTTTCGGGTTTTGATACTTGGCGTGAATAACGATTAGCCAATTCCTCTTCAGTTTCCCTAACGGCCTCCAGGCCAGCCTCACCTTGCGGATGTTGAGTGTCCAGGATAAAGGTCCTACCGCCTGTGCACTTAAGTGTGCCAGAGGTAGTGGCCGATCCTTTGCTATTGGTGGCTTTCAGTGTGTATACTCCGCTATTCTCAGGATATGTGTTAGTCAAATCCAGCGCACAATAGCCGAAATCGTAAATGGACTTAAATTTGGCAGCAGCTTGTAAGGCTTGGCCATTGTAGAACCATTCAATCTGCATTGTAGGATCACGTGATGGTTCAACCATCGACTCGAAACGTACGTTATCACCCTCTTTGCATTCTATGTTATTCAAATGAGTAGTGAAGACAGGAACTTCATAAACTGGCTCAGGTGCTTCAGGGCGTCCCGGCTTGGGTGCTTCTAATTCGCCAATGCGTGGCAAGGAGTCTGGATGTATTGACTCGCCTTGCAACCAATGACGATCTTCAATCTTGAGACTGCATGTCGAGACAGCTTCACCGATTTGGTTTGTGGCTTTGCAAGTATAAATGGCTGAGTCATCGGCGCGGAGTCCATTGATAGATAGGGTAACTAAGCCAAAGTCAAAAGTGCTGCGTATGCGCGAGCCAGTGGTCAGTGAGATACCATTTTTGAACCACTCAATGCGCAAGTTCGGGTCGGCACGTGGCTCAACTTGAGCCTCAAGTAAAACGTGCTGACCTTCCGAGAGCTTGTCGAAGCTCTGCAAATGCGTGGTGAAGACTGGTGCTTGTTGTGGGGTGGTGTCTACAAACATCTCTGGCACCCGATTCATGGCGGCCTCTTTCTGGCGAATGGCTTCCCAGGATTCCGGAATCAATGGTTCACCAGCGATGTTGGCCTTTGTCTTCACCTTCATGGCGGTGGATGAGACAGCTTCGCCGGCAGCGTTATAGGCGCGGCACATGTACACACCAGCATCTTCAGGCACAACGGCATTGATATCGAGTGTAACGAAACCGAAATCATGAGTAGTGCGAAGACGTGAGCCCATCTGCAACTCCACGCCATTTACGTACCATTCGAATTTCAGTGATGCATCGCCCACGGGCACCACGCGTGCCTCGAAGTGAGCATGCTGTCCTTCCCACAGCTCAGATGGACCAGTAAGCAGTTGCGTGAAGATTGGTTTCTCGAAAGCACGTTCTGGCTCTTCGGCACGTGGTGCGGCTGGACGTTCGAGTTGGTGTATGCGACTTATACTGTCAGGATGTTGAGTGTCCATTTGAATTGATGCTTCGGTAACAACGCGCATGGAAGCAGTTGTGACAGCTTCACCAAGGGGATTAACAGCGCGGCACATGTATACACCCTCGTCTTCTTTACGGATGTGTGAAATGTCCAAGGAAACAAAGCCGAAATCGTGTTGTTTGGTAATACGCGAGCTATCCTCAATAACCTTCTCATTGCGGTACCACTCGACCTTCAGATTGGGATCACCGACAGGAATAAGACGGCACTCAAAGTGCGCAGTTTGATGCTCATTAATACGGTCGATGTTCTGCAGAGGCTGCGTGAACACCGGGCGTTGGCGTGTACCCGGTGTTTCTACTTCGGGACGCTGGAATGGAGCATTCGATTCGAGTTTGCGAATCTTCTCCAAACCTTCCGGATGTTGAGTTTCCGAAATGATTGTGCCACGAGCATTAACCTTCAAACTAGTCGAAGAAACGCACTGACCCAATGCGTTGACGGCACGAACAGAGTATTCACCAGCGTCCTCCGGCACAGCGTGTGTGATGTCCAACGAAACGTAACCAAAATCGAAAGTAATGTGGAAACGTGAAGCCGATGGCAGTGGTTTTCCATTATGGTAGAATTCAATGCGCAAGTTTGGATCGTGAACTGGCGCTACTTGTGCCTCAAAGTGAGCTGTTTGGCCTTCAAAGATCTCAGTAGTGCCACGCAGCTCGACTGTGAAGTGTGGCGGACCAATAGGCAAGTCGCCAGGTTCGCTGCGCGCAGGTGCTGCCTTGGCTTCCAATTTCTGGATTTTCTCCAAGGCATCTGGATGTTGGGTATCTAAAATCATGCTGCGTCGGTTCAAAATACGAACATTACAAGTGTTGACAGCTTCGCCAAGCAAGTTCGTAGCCTTGCACATGTACGTGCCGGTATCCTCACCATAGACATACAAGATGTCCAAGGCGACATAACCAAAATCGTGTGTGGTTCTAAAGCGGTGTCCCATTGGCAGCTGTTTGCCATTGCAGAACCATTCAATCTTCAAGTTAGGGTCATTTATGGGCTCGACACGACACTCCAGGTGAGCATGTTCGCCTTCCTTAAGATGTTCCAAATTGCTGAGAGGTGTCAGGAAAATTGGTTTCTGGCCCTTCTCCTCCACAACAGGCTTGGTGGGAGGTGCGTAGTTCTCAAGTTGGCGAATCTTCTCCAAACGCTGGGCGTCCATTGTGTCAAGATCCAATGTCTTATTTGCTGTGAATAGATTTGTTTTATTGAAATGATTCTAGAGGCACTATTTGAGGTTGACACTTACCTGTTACGTTTACAGCACAAGTCGTGACAGCTTCCCCTACGGCATTCTTGGCTTTGCACATGTAAGTGCCGGTATCTTCAGCATGCGTGTATAGTATATCCAAAGCGACGAAGCCGAAATCGTAAGTGGTCTTGAAGCGGTGACCAGTTTGAATGGGCATGCCATTGCAGTACCATTCCACCTTCATAGTTGGATCATTGACTGGTGTCAAGGTGGCCTCTAAGTGTACGGGAGTGCCTTCGTTTACGTTCGCGTTGCGTAATGGACGTCCGAATTGTGGGCGCTCGGCATGAAATTGATCTTCCTCGACCTTGCGTTGAAAGCGCGACTCATCCTCCAAGTGTTGGATCTTCTGTAATGCTTCCTCGTGCTGTGTTTCTCTAATGATCGCTGAACGCGACTGCACATTCAGGCTAATGGAGTTGACCGCTTCGCCCAGTTTGTTGGTAACACGACAGGTATATTCGCCGCTGTCCTCAGCATAAACGGTAAGTATATCCAGAGCGGCGAAACCAAAGTCATATGTGGTGCGGAACCGGTGACCTGTGCTCAATGCTTTGCCATTGTGGAACCATTCTACCTTGAGGTTAGGGTCAGGGTATGGTTCAATGCGACACTCATAGTGTGCGCTCTGTCCCTCAACTAAGTTGGTAGGACCGATCAATTTTGTGACGAAACGTGGAGGTTGACTAACCACATATTCTTCCTCTTCGCGACGTTGATATTTGGTATGATCTTCTAGCTGGTGAATCTTATGCATAGCGGCCTCGTGTTGAGTTTCCATTTGAATTGATGTTTTAGATTGCACGATTAGTGAAGATGAGGTAACCGCTTGGCCGAGCTCGTTCACGGCACGACAAGTGTAGGTGCCAGAGTCTTCTGGATTGACATACTTCATGTTCAATGCAACATATCCAAAATCGTGCATAGTGGTGGTGCGATTTGAGGCTTCAATGGGTTGTCCATTGCGCAACCATTCTACCTTCAAGTGGGGATCGCCAACTGGGATGAGACGAGCTTCAAAGTGTACGGCTTGGCCTTCAGCGACGCGTACATCGCGCACAGGCAAAGTAAAGACTGGTGCCTGGCTGACCACCTCTTCTTGCACGCTCATGCGCTGGCGCTTGGCGCCATCTTCCAAATGTTGTAGGCGGGGCAAAGCGCTTTCGTGCTGTGATTCCAAGTAGATGGACTTCTTGGTGTGGACAATAGCAACGGCGGAAGTGATGGCCTCACCGACAGCGTTGTAGGCACGGCAGGTATAAGTACCGGCATCCTCAGGTAAGCAGGACATAATGTCCAGAGCGACAAAACCGAAATTATTGGTTTCAGTAAAGCGAGAGCCAGATTTCAGTGGCAAGTTGTTGTGGTACCACTCGACGCGCATTGAGGGATCGGATACCGGTATTAAGCGACATTCGAAATGCGCGCGTTGATTTTCCTTAATTTCGACGTTCTTCAAAGAAGTTGTAAACACTGGTGCTTGTTTGGTAGTTTCGTCGATTTCTTCACGGCGTGTATAGCGCGAACGATCTTCCAAATAGTGAATCTGCTCGAGGCCTGCCTCATTTTGGGTAACAGTAACAATTTGGTCACTGCTGCGGCACTGCAATTCTACACGTGTCTCATCGGAGCCAATCAAATTGACTGCGCGGCAAGTGTAAACGCCAGAGTCCTCAGCAATTAGATCGACAATATCCAACGCTACGTATCCAAAATCATGAATGGGTCGGAATCGGTGACCGACTGTGATGGGACGTCCATTCTTAAACCATTCCACCTTCAAGTTGGGATCGGTGACTGGTTCGATTTTGCACTCAAAGTGGGCATGACCACCCTCACGCATATTTGTCAGGCTCTTCGGATGAGTAAGGAAACGTGGACGCACATTGACAACCTCGTCAACATATTCGCTGCGTCGGTAACGAGACGAATCCTCCAAATAGGCAATCTTCTGCAGACCAGACTCATTTTGTGTCTCCAATATCAGATCGCTTTTAGCCATAATGCGCACAGAGCATGAAGTGACAGCTTCGCCAAGCTGATTGCGGGCCTGGCAGGTGTATACACCCGAGTCAACAGCATAACATCCCAGCAAATCAAGTGCAACATAGTCAAACTCATAGGCTGGACGGAATCGATGACCAGTTTTAACTGGTTTTCCATTGACGAACCATTCTACGCGCATGCTTGGGTCACCGACCGGCTGCAAACGGCATTCCAGATGAACATTTGTGCCCTCAACAGTTTCAATATTATGTAGAGCACGCGTGAATTGTGGAGCCTGCATGACGGTGATGTCTTCTTCGACATGATGGCGACGGCGTGTAGCGTCCTCCAGTTGTTGTATTTGCTCAAGTGACATTTCGTTTTGTGTCTCTGTCACAATATCTGAGCGATCAATAACACGCACGCACGAAGAAGTATGAGCTGAACCCAAATGGTTGGTGGCGCGGCAAGTGTATTCACCGGAGTCAGCAGCGGTAGCCTGCACAATATCTAGCGCTACGAAGCCGAAGTCGTAGTACGTGCGGAAGCGTGAGCCAACGGTAATGGGACGACCATTATGGAACCACTCAACGCGCATGGTGGGGTCACCCATTGGTTCGAGACGGCATTCCAAGTGAATATTTTTGCCTTCATGTATGGGCTTATGGTCGGAGAGTGGTTGTACAAAAATTGGCTTTGACTTGGAGATCTCCTCAATGTCGTATTGAGGCTCAACAAATGGTCTGTTCTCCATGTTTTGAGTCTTTTCGTAGAGGCCGCGATGCATGCTAGATGTATCGATGCTGGAACGAGCTGTGAAATGCAAAGCAGAAATTAAAATTCGAATTTTTAAAATCGTACTAAATAGTTTTTACTTACTTTCTACTACCATCGTTCCTTGTAATTGTGCTTCACCTAGCTTATTTCTGGCTACCACAGTGTAGACACCTGCGTCTTCGGCACGTACTTGCGATATATCTAAAGCGACATAGCCAAAGTCATGATAGGTTTGAATGCGTGTAGCTGCACTAATGGCACGCCCATTGTGATACCATTCAATCTGCAAACTAAGGTCGCTTTGTGGCTCGACGCGTGCTTCGAAGTGAGCTCTTTGTCCTTCCAAAATTTTATTGGTTCCCTTCATTGGGCCGAGGAAACGTGGAATTTGTGTGACTTTTGTCTCCTCCTCTTCAGTGCGTCCATAACGCGTAGAATCCTCCAAGTGCTGTAGTTTTTCCAAGCCACCTGGGTGTTGGGTGTCAGAGACAATATCCTTCTTTGAAAGCACAGTCAACTGCGCTGTAGTCGTATCCTGTCCGATGGCATTGTAGGCGTGACAAGTGTAAGTACCGGCATCGTAAATTGTCAGTTGCTTTATGGTCAGTGCAACATAGCCGAAGTTGAAGAAGGTGGTGCTACGGGAGCTAGCTTCCAGCGGTTGACCATCCTTGAGCCATTCCACGCGCATAGTAGCATCGCCGATTGGTTCGAGACGGGCTTCAAAGTGCGCATGTCCACCCTCGCGAATATCCAATTGATTTTGGATCGGAGTTTTGAATTGTGCTGGTCCGATTGGCTCAGGTACCTCTTGTACATGACGACGTTGCTGTGCTTTGCGGTGGTCCTCTAGCTCTTCAACCTTCTCGATGTAACGCTGTTGTTCGGGTATACCCAAGTCTGCGGTCACCTCAGAACGTATATTTACACGTATGTTCGAGGTACTGGTGGCTTCGCCTACACGATTAACTGCACGCACTGTGTACGAACCAGCATCTTCAGCCCGTAGGTGCAAGATGTTAAGGGAGACGTAGCCGAAGTTGAAGATTGCAGTGATTCGCGAGCTAGCAGTAATCGGGCGGCCATCCTTGTACCATTCCACACGCATTGTGGGGTCGTTAACTGGGTTGACTTGAGCTTCAAAGTGCACATTTTTGCCCTCCTCGAATTCGCCAAGGTCCTTTAGCGGGCGGATGAAAACTGGTGGTTGATTCATTAGTTCCTCCGAGCTTTCCTGACGCTGGTAGCGTGAGTAATCCTCCAATTGGTTGATATATTGTAAACTATTTGGATTCTGAGAGCTTTGCTCGATGGAGGGGCGTTGAATGACAGAAAGAATGGCTCGAGATTCAGCAACACCAGCAGCATTACTAACGCGGCACATATACTCACCGGAGTCGTGAGTCATAATGCTCAAAAGATCGAGCGCTATGAAACCAAACTTGAAGACAGAGGTAGCGCGTGAGCCTGCACGTGAGGAAGAGAGTTTAAATAACGAAACTAACTATTGCTTACAAATTTTTTTGATACTTACTTGCTGCCAACGGTTGTCCATTAAGGAACCATTCTACGACCATAGTTGGATCACCAACAGGTTCGATGCGTGCCTCCATGTGCACCTTGTTTCCTTCGACTTGTTGCACGTTATGCAATGGTATAATAAATTGTGGCGGTGGGTAGACGCGGTCTTCCTCACCGGGGCGCAAGTGTGGCTTTGCGCGTTCTACATGGCGTAAATAAATTATTTCTGGACCAGGTACAGGCCTTTGGTAAGGAAAAAGGAAAACACAAAAATGATAGAAAGTAATTGTTTAGCTTACTCAGTGCACTTACTCTGGTTCGATGATTTTCGTTGGCCGCGGTAAATTGAGACGTCTTTGTTCATGTGTCGGTTGTTCTCTGGGAACTTCTACATAGAGTCTTGCGCGATTAGCAGTCGAGCCGGCAATATTTTGTGCTGTGCACTGATACCAGCCTGCGTCGGTGGCCGTGACGCGTGGAATCTCCAAGCAGGTGGCGCCACCGTCAATACCTATATATCGTTCATTATTTGACGAAATTTGCACACCGTCCTTCTGCCATGTGATGCGTGGCACTGGAGTGCCGATGGCATTGGCACTCATAGTGATGGGTTCGCCTTCACGTACGGTCATTGTGCTGAATCTTTGAACGAATTGTGGTGCGACAATCTGTTCTTTTTCCAACACATTCAGTTGCGCTTCGATGGCAACCTCACCAGCCTTGTTGCGTGCCAAACACTGTACTGCGCCCGCATCCAGACGACTGACGTTGGTAATCATCAGCGAGTGACTACCAGATTCGTTGACAAGAATCTTATGTGATACATCATCTTTGACTGGACGGCCGTTGATCAGCCAGACAACTTCAGGATAAGGATTGCCAGTGACGCGGCAATCAAAACGAGTCATGCGACCCTCAGTGACTTCGCGATCAGCATAGCCCTTCACGAAAGTGGGTGGCAAGGCTTTACCAGCTTCCAGCTGTTCTGCTGTAACATCGACTGGCTTCGGTTCGTGAGCACTTTCGGCAGCTGGTTCCACAGCCAAAACGGCTGAGGAGACTACGCAACCCTGGGTATTTTCTGCGAGCAGCGTATAGTGGCCGGCATCTTGGTAAGTGGCGTTCTTAACCCGCAACGTAGCAATACCACTGGAATATGAAGTTTCGTATTTTTGCGATGTTACCAGGCGTTGACCATTATGGAACCAAGTTAGGCGTGGCTTGGGATTAGAGCCCACCTTAGCGCTGAAAACGGCGTCAGAACCTTCAATAAGTTTCGAGCTACGTGGCTTCTGAGATAATTGTGGTGCATGAGCAGCACCCAAAGTGCGGTCCAATTCCTGCGTTAAATGTTGATCTTGTTCGTAAGCCGAACGCCGTGTAATAGCCTCACGATATTGCACTTCGCGTAGCAAGCGATATTCAAATGTATCGACACGGAACTCCTCCTCAATCGAGGTGTACGAATAGCCGTTGGTGTACGATGACTTATCGAGTTTTTGAACGGGCTGCAGCACTGGCATAGGCGCGCCCTCAGGCTGGATATAAACACTGCATATGGCCTCGCCATATTGATTGCGTGCGGTGCATGTGTATTCGCCTTCATCACCAGGTCCTATTTGGTTAATCAGCAACGATACTTCACCGGTGGCCTCGTTGTAGGTCATTCGGAATTTTTGTGACTCGAGAAGTGGTGCGCCTTTTCGGGTCCAAGAAACGAATGGCTTTGGATTGCCACATAGCTTACCCTCGAAGAGGGCATTGCCGCCTTGAGCGAAGCGGGCGTTCTTGAAAATTTGCTCAAATATCGGTGGTGAAATATCGCCTTGAGCGTAAATGTGCGTTAGGGATGGCGGAGTGTAGGTACCGCCAGCGCCTACATGTTGTTGTTGCACTGCAAGAGAGAAACAAATTAAGAAAATAAATTAGTTATGAATACCAGCGACTGAATCTTACAAGAGAAGCAGGTGACAAATTTTCTAAAAAAATTGCGAATAGCATGCGGACCGTTATTCATTGTGGAAACATTTAAGCGGGCGAGCTATGATGTAAGTGGTGGCGTCGCTTTCTACTCTAAATTTAGATTGGATGCTCCAGCTTGTTTGTAGTACGGAAAAAATATTTTTTTTTTGTTTAAAAAAATATGCGAACTTATAATTTAAATTTTGATGAAGTAAACAACAAAGTTTTCATATAAATTGACAAATTTAGAAAATTTTTAGTTCGAAAGGGAGCATGGCGAAATTATTGCGCCATGGAAAGGGGGCAAAATCGATAAAAATCAGTTAGTGTTAATAAAATAAATACAGAAAAGTACAACAGCAGTAAAAATTAATAAAACAGAATGGGTAAACGGAGATGGAGAAGAGGTGTACAAGAAATTCCATTCGAATTTATAAATCTGTGTATACAGATTTTTCTCTGGATCAGTGTTGCCAATATTTATAAGTACACGTTATTGGCATTCGATCTTTCAGTGTATGTATAGTGGCAACGAACGTCCTTGCAGCTAGTAGTGATTCACCGTTAGTTTCACAAAAGTTCATTACTGCTTGACATACTTTGACTAGATATTTTCGAGGTTCGAAACAGAAATTTTATAAATAGAAACACGCACGTAAAATAATGGGATGTTTCAAATTCGAAAGCGCTTGTCGTGGATAGACTCTCCCACTCTCGCACATGCTACTCACAGTTTCGAAAACTACACATACATGATCGTATGCCAACAGTTGGCGAGCTTCCACGATTTTCATACTGAAAACACATACATATGTAAGTACATACGTGCGAAAAATAGTGGGTAATTTGTTCGTACAATTTCATAAGAGCAGTTAGAGTGAGTCGACTACATATACATATAACGTGTGTGCATGCACCTATATATGTTTGTGAATCAAATAGGGGCACGCACATTGTTGTATCTACTATTCGAAAATTCAGAATATTTCTTTGCTATGTTTTTTAGACTACTATTTATTTTTTAAATAATGTTTAATGGTGTCAAATGCTGACCTACTTCTGAGATTGATGTTTGATGGTAATATTAATTTTGTGGCGAAGGACCAACGTCGCAATTATGTATGTGCCATACCTCAGTGTGTAATATACATATACATATGTACATATGTATATAAATACTTTATATGAGATTTAGTTCTTAGAACAGCTGATTTTACTTTTTTTACTGGCCTTGGCGTAGGGGTTATCAAAATGAGGAAATGAAAAGGAAATTTTGACAATCACTATGCTAAAAGTCACAGACAAAATAAATTTAATATTTTTTTTGTTCGGCTGCCACCAAGGCGAATTTATACAAGGTGGTGTTGTAAAATTAGCTGATTTCTTCGCCTTACATGTATTTTGTTTTTGCTTTTACTGATTTGACAGCACACCCATCAACAGCAAAAACAAAATACATGCAAACTTTGGGGCGAATCGAGATTTGACATAACACCCTCAATACAAAATACATGTGGTTGTTGTTGTTGTTATCTAATTTCGCCAGTAACACCACCTTGTATAAATTCGCCTTGGCTGCCACCATGTTATTCGAATTCGCCTTGATAAGTTTGTGCGTTGGGCATGCCTGCGACTTTTTTTTTGAATAAAATATACTCATGGGGAGAGGAAACGGAATGATGAAAAACGCAACACAATAACGTTTGTTAAAAATTTCGCGCAGGGAAGTCCGAGAAAGCAAATTTGTACTGAGGGAAGCAGTGAAAATAGTCATATAGATTGGTTCTTGCACTTTCGATGAGTGATATGAATTTTTTGAAAAAAAAAAAATTTAAGTGAAAAATAAATTTGTATTTGTTGAGTAGAGGATACTATTTTTATTTATTTATTTTTTTGATTCTTTAACGAAAGCTGAGGTTTGATCCTTGATAAAAATATTTATAAGGTATCACCGCTGAGAGCCAGCTTTGGAGATTTTGACGTTTGCTAGAATTTTCTCCCGCCATTATTTCATTTGTTAGTTTTTATTTTCACTCACACTATTTCTGTCGAAAAAACAAAATTTGAATGTACATACATACATATGTATGTAAATAAATAAATGGAAGCAATTGTGTTTTAAGGACTTCTGTCCATCGTTCAAAAGGTGTATAAATCCTCTTTTCAAAAATTTTTCGATTTTTAAAATCGGATGGAAAATAGCCAAGCTATTAAGAGATAAGTGCATCAAGTACGATTATAACGGTTTTTTGGTATAAAAAAATGGAGGATTCTGGAATTATAAGGGACCTATTTTCATGTTGTATTCGACCTTACCTACAACCTACACTAGGTTTTGTTTCGGGTGTATTTCATGACTATTTTTTGTTGTAGCACCGTCTTATTTAAGAAAAAAAAAATTTAAATATGTGGTGAAACGTAAAACCACGAAAATTTTATCCCTCCTAGTCTCCCGAAAAATATTCAATAAATGGAAACATATTTTTAACGAAAATTGTCATCTATCACTACTACTAATGCTGTTTAAGCGAAAAAGGAGAAAAATTGCTTTGATTACTTCAAGTGAAAACGCTCATATGGAAAATTGCTGTTTTTTTTTATAAAAACTTACTATTTCTTGCTTTATTATAAATATTAATAAAGGGGTTTTTATCTATATTTGCCTACAAAAATACTAACTTTTTATAGCTTTTGTGTAGTTTTTCTGAAATTTGCTTTAACTTGGAAATTTATGTACGATATTCTCTTGATAATTTAAATAATAAGCGCGAAAAAATAAAGTGCTCAAATTTTGCGTATGTTATACACACATAAAGACAAAGTGACTAAATGCGACGACCCAAATAGAAAAACAAATCTTTTTACCTTATCACCCATGCTTTTAAAATACTCGCTATAGACGCATCCTGTACCCCATGTTTTGTTTTAATTAATTTATTTTTTTTCTGAATAGCAATGCACATTTTTCACGTTCAATCGTGTTATCTTAAAAATTATTAATCCTTCATTTATAAAAGTGAAAAACATACATTTTTAAAAGTATAAGTAAAACGTAATTATATTAGATTTCAAAATTGCAGAAAAGTTTCTGCCAAATTTTACCAAAAATCGGTAATTCAAAATTTTTTAAACCCCGCTTTCAGATTCGTAATCATTTGTCATAAAAATTACTAAAATCCTACCAAAAGCCCCCGAGTAACAAGTTTCGAGCGAATTCAATAAATTTTAGAAATTATTCCGCCATATTGTATTCGCCATTTTGAATTCTAAAATACCATGGTCAAACTCATAATCGGCGACCCCAAATACCCCCAGGTAACAAGTTAGGATCAAATTAAAAAAAAAAAAAAAATTGTTCACCTTATTGGATCCGCCATACCTTTGAATGTTCTATGTTATACCAAAACCCAAAATATCATTCGTACACGGAAACCACATATTTTACAATTTCAATTGCATAAATGTTAAGTCTTAAAAAAAAATCAAACTTGAGTTCTCAAAATTTTAATTTTTACACATTCATGTTTTGGCATACGGGCGACTATATATGTATGTACAGATGCGATTGACTAACTAGCAACGAAATTAAAAATGATAGTGTTTGCAAATTATGTTTATTTATTTATTTTTATTAATTTTCTAATTAAAAATTTTGAAATTTTGAAGTTTGATATATTTTTTTGCAATTTGTGCAAGTTTTTAAACTTTTATTATTGTGGTTCCTGTTATAGATTGAATTACATTTTAAATGAAAATGATTAAAAATAAGTAAATAAGCACAATTTGTATAGCTTCATGGCATACTCGTTGTACATGGCGTATGAGTAACATTTTGCCAGCACATCGTCGCCTCAGAAAACGGATGACGAATGTGCAAAATCACGATTTTGGGATTTTGATGCAGATTTACTAAGTTGGACATGCTCTTTCGAATTCTGCAATCCATTTTTTTATATCTCCATTAGTTTTTGAGATATTTCGTGCGCATTTTGTCGTATGTTACATAATATTAATGATTGGGTATGCCTTTTGTTGTATGTGCTGAAAATGCGTCCCATACGACAAATTCCCATACAAACGTACCTTTTTTTTAATCATAACACGTTTGTCGTATGTGGCACATACGACAAATTCCCATACAAATGTAATCTTTTTTTAATCATAAAACATTTGTCGTATGTATCGCAAAACTTTGAACTTACGACAATTGGATGGTCCTCTACTATAACGATACAATTAAAATTGAAAATTAAACTAAGTAACTAATTTTAAAATTTTAAATTTTTAAATTTTAGCTTGCACTGAGTCTCCAATGAAATGAAAGAGATAAAAATGTACAAAAGACTGAATTTAAGTATTGTTTTTTGTTTTTATATAAAGAAAACGTATGTTCGTAACATATTTACAGCATAAGAGATGTACAGATTTTTTTTATTAAATACATGATTATGTTTTTGTTATGTTTTTTCTAATAAGTAATCATTATTTAATAAATATGTCTGTTTTTTTCATCAAATTATACCATCGTCGTTGAAATAGATACTTTACTATTGTCGTATGTTCTGTGGACAAAACAAAGTGGTGAGTAAACGCTACTTACGACAAATGTATACGGAATGAAAAGTAAATTTTCTCATTAACGTTAAGAGATATTAAATGTAAAAATATGGGAAATCAAAACTAATAACACCAACTACGTCTCCTTCAAAAGTTACAAAAATCTACCGTACAGTTTCGGATTAATTCGACCTTAAACTTCAAAGTCAATTTTCTCAAAACCGTGTTTTGTAACATTCGACATCCGTTTTCTGAGACGACGACATGTGTATCATAAACAAATCATTGCGCATTTTCACCACTCATTTATTTATTCATCCGTTTCTTCGCTAGTAGCTTGTTTTTTCGTAAAAGAAAAAGCTTTAGTGTAAACGA